ATTTTTATTTTTCTACATCTTTTGAACTCAGCAGCTGTTCTTTACATTGTATAAAAAAATTACAATGAATGCATTAGAAATGCTCTTAAAACACTTTGAATAAAACCTTTTTTACATTAACTTTACATTAAAAGTAAAGAGTGTTTTTCCTCTCTCCTGTAAAGTTAACATTTTGGTGATATGTGCTTTTCTTTGTACAACGATGATATGGTAACAGCAGCTCTGGAAGACAAATGGGCAGTAATTGTCAGGATTTTGTCTCAAGATGTTGCAAATTTAGAACAGACACTGGAGCAAAGTGCACCACTGATGGTGGACAGCTGTCAGCTACTCATGCACCCAGGTGAGTTGTAACACTCAACAAAAGTGCTTTGCTCTTAATTAAATCATAGGCTAAAGCCAGTGGGTGCAGTTAATCTCACACTCGAGACCCTACAGAATGGCACTGAAGTCAGCAAGACAACTGGTGCTGGTAAAGCGTCTGTAGTTTAAAATGTACCAGAGGGGCTGATGATTTCCCTGAGCTACAGCATACTAGTGGAGCATTACCAGCCAAATACACAATCCAGATTGAGGCAGATAATAAGGGTGTACTTCAACCAGTGTGATGCCTGCTGACAGCTCTCAAAACAAAAATAGTGAAGAAGCTCTGTAAGGCGGTGCATTGCAGCTAAGTTACCAAAGTAGACCAACCAACAGAATAGGTTAGTTTTATGGTGGTGGTTGTGGAAATGTCAGAATCTGTATAGATGTTGGAATAGTTAGGGACAGTATGGTAAAGACACCTGGAGGAAGCGAAGTATTGTCAACCTCTCCTTCCAAGTTAGTTTAAATTTAAAAGCTGTCAGATGGGCTCTCGAGTGGCGCGACCGTCTAAGCGTTGGCCCTATCATCCGGAGATCGCGAGTTCGATCCCTGGTGATGCTACAGCCATCCGTAGCCGAGAGTCCAAGAGAGCACAATTGGCCTCGCTCTCTCTGGGTGGGTAGGATGGCCCCTCCCTCTCCCCCCATCACTCAGCGCGATGCTAGTCAGCGCAGGCGTCTGTTAGCTGACGTAACAGATCTGGCGGTTGACGCTTTCCTCCGAGCGCGTTCGGCTGTCCAGTGACGTTGCGTGAGCGGCAGTTCGAAAAGAAGCGGTGGCTGGTTTCACAGGTCTCAGAGGAAGCCTGTGTTAGCCTTCACCCTCCTAGCGTTGATAGCATCGTGTGATTGGGGGAGTCCTAACTAGCGGGTGGAATTGGAAACGACTAAATTGGGGAGAAAATTGGGTAAAAATCCTAAAAAATAAATAAATAAATAAATAAATAAAAGCTACCAATATTTATTTGATGATATTAATTTCAAATATCCGAGTCAATTCCCATTCCGCCCGTGGAATGGCCACTCGACAGATATAAATTAGAAATAAGCTAAAACACAGACCAATCAAAATTCTAGTTGAACAATTTACTGTTATTCTGAGGCGTTTGCTTAGTGCTTCAAACTTGGAATGGGACGAAACTTAAAAGTCAAAAAAGTTTGAAAAATGCCCAAAAAAGTGAAAAAAAGAAGTAACAAAAAGTCAAAGAAAAAATTTGCTTCCAAGACCACAACTGCTGCACATGGACTGGAACTGCTGCGGGACTGAAATTCAAGGTTAGGCTCACCCGTGAATTAGTCATGCCCATCCAAAACCACAGTTCTTGCGTCACTACTGCACATGAGCCAGTAGATTATATCAGCACTGAAAAAATGGTTTAAGGAATCATATGACCATTTCTCTCTCTCATATGAATATCTTTAAATGCGGTGCTGGATCCACTAAAATAGGTACCAGAACCAATCTGGAAGGTCCGGCTCCAGGTCTAGCTTGGTCTGGCACAAATTAAGCTCTGGTCATCAGTCAATTTATTGATTGCTGGAAAGTTATTCATAGTGCATACTTTATACGTATTGTATATTGTGTGCCCACAGGAGAAAGGTTAACCTAGTTAGAAAGGTTTACCCTCCCTGGGGTTTTGATGTAGCTTGGGAAAATCTGATAGAGTCTTCACTGTTGAGTCTTAGATGGTAAAAGCTGGCCAGCTGATATAATTTCTGCAGCTTCATTCCAATGACTGGTCAGAATTTAAGAAGTAAAACTCTTCCTAGACAAGTTAACCACTGAAAGAGCCAGATATGTTCAAACCATTACAAGGACTCCAATTTTGGGAACAAAGACAGCTAATAGCTGTGCTAATCTGAGCAGCTGACTATTCAGCGGAGCCTAGCACAGGTCTATTCAGTTTCTAGAATCAATTGCAATGAAGATGGACTGTTGGGGTACACATCAAATGGAGCCTCAAATCCATTTGCAGAGCGATTTGAGAAAGATTACAATCAAACGATTCTCAGCTATCTCTGTTATATCTGCAGAGAGAATATCAATAAGCCTCACTGCAATGCAGAGCACTGTTCTTCAATAAGAGACAATTGCCATGAGAGAAGAGAAGAGGGGAGGGAAAGAGAAGGAGGGACGGAGAGAGAGAGAGCAAGAAAGGGAGTTTAAATAATGGAGACCCACTGACAGCACCTTAAATGCAGGTTTTGTGACAGTAGGAGCTTAAAATGACAGATTACATATGGTGCGATCAGAAATGTCAGTAGATGTTAATATGTATGCATGCACTATTTATATGTGTATGAGGGTGCATGGCAGTGTAGCAATGACATTTAGGAACAATGGCTGGCATCAGGGGATAATACATTTGTGTGCATGTATGTGGGAAAGAAGGACACGTGTATGTGTGTGTGCATGTGTGTGTATGTGTGTGCATGTGTGTGTTAGGGATGTAATTAAATTAAAAATTCAAAATTTGATTCAATATGATACAGTGGTGTCTCAGCATGACATTTTTCGATACAGCAAAAATAAGGAGTTCCTGAATTATGCGCCTTGTGTTCATATGTTAATGTCAGGTATATGCACATTTCCCTCACACTGTACAAGTGCCCTCCTGGTTGGTGTGTATAATAATTGTATATTATTTTGCCACCCCTATTTTTCAAGATCTGTTTAAGCAAGATGAGGCTCAGTCTTGCCCTGAGAATAGGGCTCAGCTTTGGTTCTTCAAGATTCACCACACTTGGGCGCCCCCTGGTGCGGTACAGACCGCCTGTAGTTTTCCTCAGTAACTCCAATCTGCACACATCACCACAGCACCTGAAATCCCGCTGATAAAAACTGATAACACCTCTAAGAAAGAGTCAAAAAATGTTGGCAATAAGGGGAGTTAACTTGGTACACCAAGTTTTCATTACTGTAAAAAACAGATTTATACAAGACTCTGTGAAGCACTTAATGCACTTATAACTCAGTACTGTCATCATTAAACAGCATAGTGAGTTATACCACAGTTCTGTGTGCTGGCGGCCAGGGTTCAATTCCATGCACAAATAATAACATCAGTGCTTTTGGCTGCCTTTATTAAAACATGATGTTTGGTTTTCTCTAAAATCGTGATTACACTGTCTTTCTTAGTGATAGTGATTGTAATATATGGTAAATTAATTTAATTTAATTTTTGTTCATGTTGACATTTTTCCCTTTTGAGCCCTTACCCCTGCCAAAAAATCACTGTGCACAGGCCAGGTTAATGTTTATATGCTACCCGACCCGAGCCTGATGGTGCCTGGCAAAACATTTTGGGCCAATTTTCCAAGTACAGCATGGGGCTCGGATTTGTTTTCTAATGAATGACTTTTTTGATGTAGTAGATTGGTACCACTTCAAAATAAGACTAGCCATTTAAAGGGTTCATGAATGGTTTAAAAATTTAGTTTGTTAATGGTTATTAGGTCATAAACATTTAATCATTAATAAGCAGTTATTACACATTAACAAAAAAGGGCAAAAGTGAGATGTTATAGTTGATGCATATGAATATGTGGTGATGTTGACAGGTTTAATGCAAACTGATGAAGAAGACAAAGTAAGATCAGTAACATCGAAGTTTAACTGTTTGAATGAATGTGGGTTCACTATTAGGCAGACAAAGGTCACTGCTACCCTTTTTATTTATGCATTGTGAATGCTTATTAATGATTTTTTTAATAAACTCATTTTAAACCATTCATAAACCTTTTCTAAGGGTAGATTTATTTTAAAGTGGTACCAGTAGATGTTGTGCATCATGTGTATCATGCATTTCCTCTCTGGGGTTTGAGGAGTGGGTGAATGCACCCCTGAATGAAACAATGGATGATGTGAGGGCCAAGTTGGGGTGGTGGAAAGGTCAAAGTGGATTTTCCATCATGCTTGTTAAGCTCGAACAAAGTGTCAAGCAGTTCTGCAGCAGTGGCGAGAGTAGCAGCAGTAGCTAGAGGACCTTCAGTGAGTGTGGATGATGTTCTCTGCCAGGTATGATCATCAATTCCACAAAAATATTCTGATAGTAAATACTATTAGTGTATGACAGATGTGTAAAATACTAGTTCTTTTTTTCCAGCACACCATTTTTAAACAACAAAACACTGTAAAACCTTGTCAGAGATAATCTGTTTTAGTGTGTGCAAGCGAGGTTGGGGCAAGTTTGTCAAGATTCAGTTTCATTTTCAATAGTTTGTGTGTTAAATGTGTCTTGATTCTACAGTGTTCTATTTACATTACACAGATTGGTCTGCCTAGATTAATAAAAGTTCTCCAATAGAACTTTTTCATTGCTTGTTGCACCAGTCCTCTAATAAATAGACCCCAAAAAATCACAATTCTTAGAATTTATAATTGATTTATAAAAGCCCAGTCATTTGAGCATGAGTGTGTGCGTAACATTAGCCCCTCCCGCTTCTAGCCCACTTTAATAAGCTGCACTCAGATGTATATGTTCGATCATTGACAGTTGTTTTCAACAAAGTTGATAAATGTGAGACCCTCAGAAGATACAGAGGGGTGTATCAGTGTCTCAGATTTTTCGATATGTACTAGAACCATTACCCTTAGTGTGTGCTTGTGTGTAAGATAAAACACGCTGTACTTACGTTGTGAAGGCGGGGTTGTACTTGGCTCCTAAGTAGTAAGAGTACAGGTTGAACATGCCAATCATGAAGGCGACGAAGACCATAATGAAGATGACCATGAATTTGAAGATGTCTTTAACAGTGCGACCCAGTGAAATCTGCAGTGGCCCAAAGCTCTCATTGGCTGGGAGGATGTAAGCGATGCGGGAAAAACTTAGGACCACCGCAATGGCATACAGACCCTCTGAGATAATCTGCGGATCAGACGGCCTCCACTTATTCCTGGCTAAGAGAGGAAGAGAAAGAATTGGAAGAAAGACAAAGTATGTTAAACTGGATAGTCTAAACATCTGTTACACTACTGAGCACAATATGTGTAACTGAATCTGAGCTGAACAGGAGCTAAAGCATCACTGTGTGTGGCTTTAATAGTATCTCCTCAAACTGAAATGTCTGGTCTTATTAAGTGTGTTCAGCTGTGATAAGACTTTTGTTTGAAAGTTCTCTGAAAGCACAACAAAGATCAAAGACGCACTGTCAGCAAAGAACAAACACACACACACACACACACACATACACACACACACACACACCTTATTTTATTTGTGAAGGAACAGATTAAAGGATGATTTTCTATCTCTACATCTTTCTCCCTATCTCCCTCTTTCAACATCATCCGTCTCTTCCTTTTCCCCCCTCTCTCTTTCTCAAGCTCTCTCTATTTTCCCCTCCTATTCTCTCATTTTCTTTCTCTACTTCCTCCTCCCTCTCCATCCTTTTTAACACTGTTTTTCTCTCTTTTCCTCTCCTGTCTCTTGCCTGTATCTTCTCTCTTTTTCTATCTCTGCTTCCTAATCTTCGTCTCTGTCTTTCAACACCCTCAATTTTTCTTTTTCTTCTCTCTCTCTCTTCTCTCTTCCCTCCTGTCTCTCACTAACCCCTCTCTCTCTCTCTGCCTCTCCCTGTCTTTCAACATCCCCATCTGTCTCTTTCAATCTCTACTTCCTTCTCCCTCCCCCTCTTTCTACATCACCCATCTCTGTCTCTCTCTTTCTCTACATCTGCTTGCTTCTCCTCCTCCCTCTCTTTCTACATCTCCCATCTTTCTCTTTTTTCTTCCTCTTCTCTCCCTCTCACTCTCTCTATGCCCTTTTCTTCTTTCTGGTTGTTCTCCAGTAGAGCGGTCATCCATGTCATTACCAGTGTACACCAGTAGATAGCAGCATTGATAACGACACATACAGAGGAGCAACCTGTGTCATGGTGTGGAGCATTAGTCCTAAACTGGTGCTGTCCTCTGGGATTTAATCTGTACTGTAGTCGTCATGAGACAAGCTGGAACTGCTGTTCAGTATAACAGTCATACACTGGGCACAGACAGAGGCAATTCAGAGATACTGATAGATACAGCTAGTGCACCATACATATATCAGACTGTGAAGCTGTGAAGCTGTTCTATTGTCCCAGACACTGAAGCGTTTAGTGCATGGACTGATCTATTATCTAGCAAAGACTCTGAATCATAGATAATAGATAATATAATCTTAGATAGATGAAAAGACCTTATATTCACGTATAGATAATAGATCAGTTCATGAAATGTTACATTTAATGGTCGTAAAGGCCACACTGTCACTGTTCATGCATTCATGAGGAGCCATCACCTTTGACCCAACTGATGAGATGCTTGTGAATGTACCTTGACCCTTTGAATGAGCAGCCATTGTTACTGTTTTGAAGCTCATTCTTGTAGAAATGCTGCTTTTCTATTGCAAGAATCTAATTCTAAATCTTAGTAATTAACTCTCATTGATTGTACACCTGTTGCTGGGATGCTACTGCACTGTGCATTGACTTAACAATGATCTTAAATGAGCAACAATTATAGCAATCCAGCACAAAAAAGAAGCAAAACTTTGTCTTAAATGGGAGCTTCATAGGAGAAGCAAAAAATGTTCTGGACATGATGGTATATTAATGTAATAATGATTTTATTGGAAGTCATTTTCGAGCATTTCTACTGGTCCATTCATCATAAAATGTAAAAAGCAGCTGGAGGTTTAAGGCATGTACATCATATATGTTCAAGCAAAGCTTGAGAACTTAGGTTGGACTTAAAGAAGAAGGACTATGTTTTGGCAGAATTTTTGTTTGCAGCAAAGTCAGACAGGTGTGGAGAAATGTACAGAAATTTGTTTTGAAATATGCTGGAATAAACAAAAAGTAACATTCTGAAGAATTTGCTATAAATTACTGTAACTATGGAGTACAGCAGATATACTGTGGACAGATAGCATATTACTGGAGTGCTTGTTATCAGTAAATGACTGTAATTTTGAATTTTTATGCCTGTACTGTATGTACTGTAAACAGACAGTATGTCAGTGAATCACCCACCATATGTGAAGTAGGCGACATCGGCAGGCAGGGAGGCGTTGCTGATGTCATGATTGGGCACATGGAGGTCGATGTAAAGCTGTGCTTTCGATGCTTTCAGAAAGGCCATGAGACGAGCTGTGAAGGATGCCACAAAGATGGACAGCATGCCAAAGTCCAGAACATTCCAGAGGTGCATGACATACTCCCGTGGGCCGTCAGACCAAATCTCCTTACACTCTGACCAGATCATACCTGAAAGAGAGTGTGTGTCCATGCAAGATAGAAAGAGAGTGCTCATCAAAAATACACAATATGTGCCAAATAAAAGATTATAGACAGAGGAATCCTGTCATATGGAAACCTCTTATATTCTGAACAATAATTTTATATGAGAAGGAAAATAAACCTTCTTTTATTCCATTCATCATTAAGTATTCAGTCAGGGTGTCTGACTGAAAGTCAGAGACTCTTGTTTGTATAATTTCCAGTCAAAACAGTCATTTAAAAGCTATTCATTTTCAGGAGACATTTCTGAGGTGATAAGATGTACAATAATTCACTTGCATAATGAAAGGGAAAGTCAACGGAAAATTAACGAAAAAACAGAGTTTCCAAAAACAGAGTTCAAGCAAAGAAGGTGCTGGTGTTCTCAGAACAATGGACTGACCAGCCCAGAGTCTGGACCTCATCATCACTGAATGTGTTTGGGACTGTGTGGATTGTGAGAAGCAGAAAATGAAACCAACTTCTAAGACTGAACTTTAGGGGTGTGGAAAAATAACCCTGCACATTTCTTTGTGACCTGAAAAGAACAGAAGCAGTAATAAAAGCAAAGTGTGGAAACACTAAATACTGAAAATGTGTAATTTAAATATTACATTAAAGTAAAAACATTAAATTGTTAATTGTTTTCTGTTCCCTGATATTCAAAATGAACAACTTGTGCTTAAAGGCCAGTTTGACTGGAAATTAAAATAAATGAAGGGTGGTCTCTGACATTTGCACAGTTCTGTACACACAGTTGTATGCAAAAGTTTGCAAATCATTAACACACCCTCCACAGAGAACAAAATTCTGCTCATTTTTATGCACAACTACTGTTTATTTCCTGAATTGAACACATTTTTGAAAACATAAAAATGTGTCCAATGTGTTAAACTCAGCAAATAAACAGAAATTGAGCATCAAAACTTGCAGAAAAAAAGATTCTTTTAAGTTTTAAGTGTGCTCTCTGTAGAGGATGAGTTAACTTACTTTCACTTAGAAAATCCACAAAACATGTCATTTGACCGCAGGTGTTCAGACTGAGTTATAGCTCAAAGCACTTCACAAAATATAAAGTTGAGATGCACTATGGTCCCTCCAGTGAACAGAACCACCACCTGCACACACACACAGGGAGCTGCAAATGCTGCAGAGTCATCTCTGCTACAATTACACTTACAGGCACAAAATGTTCTGGAATGAGAATCAAACACACACACAGAGTTCATATTCTCTCAGAGATTGCCTTAGTATGAATGGAATAGAGTCATTACCAGCAAACACACACAAACACGATAACAGGACAAAATTGGGGAAGGAGCAGCTGGACAGAATGAAGAGAGGTCAGAGCACAGATGCAGTGAGCAATGGAAAGCTACTGAGCTCTTCATCTTCTGTTCCCTTTTTTAAATCTCTTCTTTGCATTCTATCACTCAGCAGTAACCGTCTACTGAATTTACCAGATTCAGATGAGTGACGTGTTAAAATGAGTTCAGCATTCATTTATTTCAGCACCTAACGCATATCTGTGCAAGCAGATTGCTATTTTCTCTAATTCACTGTTGTTTTGTGCCTGGCTCTACCCCACCTGAACACCTTCAGGGAAATCACACACTAGAACAGCTTTCAGTGTGTTTTTCACATTTCCTAACATTCCCCACCATCTGCAGCTTCTGTGTTTGTTAGAAGCCTTATGTTGCACCTAAGGGAATATGTATGCTTTCTATCCTAAGACAATAAATATATATATTATAATAAATAATATATATATTTATTAATATATAATAAATATATATATTAAAATTTGGTCTTAAAAGACCAAGAGTTTTGGTGATACCATCATAGTAGTGAGTGGGTTTTTAACAGATTGGGGGAAAAAAAGGGCTCAGTTTTAGCTGCAGACATTGCATTGTAAAAAAGTAAAACTCTAAAAACCTGTCAGGATCAAAATAGCTTCAATACCAGGCCTTTCATACAAGCCTTCAGAAACAGAAATGAAAGGAAAGAGTGAAAACATGAAAACAATTTACATAGCATAGATTTCATAGCATAGCTATATACGTGAGCCAGCTAGACCAACAACTAGTCTAGCTGAAACTCTGTTAAGCTTTAAAGGATAAACTTCATATATTAGCTGACTGTATTAGCTGACAACTTCCACTAAATTGGCTATTGCACCAACAAGCATATTTGCTATCCCATCTACATGCTTGCCAACCATCTGAAGTTGTTTTGCCTCTCGCTTTTAAACACTGCACTTACCGTATGTAGTGGTTCCATCAGACTGAAAGTTATTTCTACAACGGAAGGCTTATTCTGTGAACCTAAAGCCACTGCAAGCTGCAGAAAAACGATATTTTAGTAACGACTGCGCATGACAATAGTAAAATTGACAGGCAAATCGATATAAGGGTTTATTAATAAGGTTGGGGGTCAGAATTGAAACAGTTAAGGGCAAGTCTGAGTCAAGTCACAAATCAGTCAACATGCTACTCAAGCGCCACTCTAGTTTGGTTCACTGCCTCAAGTCCCCATCTCTGTATTTGCATTATATATTCACATATTGCAAACATTCATTCATGCAACAGCTGAATAACTTCTGTTGAGTTTCAAATCAATAGGTTCTTTTCAAGTAAGAGGAAAATATGTCTGGATTATTGTATGATTCTGATGCAGCAGATAGAGACAATGTTGAAAAATGCTTACTGAAGTCTTGTTCGATCAATCTATTTGGTTCTCTTTGCAAAATTCTTCTTTGCTGTTATATCATCATGCAAGGTTTAAGGTTTGATAGGCACAGGAGTGGAGCTGTTGTCCTCAGGGCTTCTGAGTCAGGTGCTAGATGTGGAATTGATTAAGGTATTAATTGACCCCTTTTCTATGGGAGCTGCTCCCCTCTCTGAGGTCTAGGAGCAGCTTCTGTCACAGGTGGGGAGCAGTGCTAGTGCTAGTGCTAGTAGTTAATCAGTTGGCATATGAGATCTGGTTGTGTGTAGAAGCTTTGGGTTCACTGTCTTCTCTGACTTCTCTGTGCTCCGGTTCAGACTGGCATGGCACCCATGAGGCCGAATCATAAAAATGATATATTGTCGTTTGCTTACAAAAAGCTGCAGAGTGATGAAACCATACTTTCTCCACCATTCTGACTAACTCTCAAAAGGAGAGATTTATTGTCTCATGAGCTTTTACTAACATCTAAACTTATGAAAACCCAGTATCACATGATCTACTGCTGGAGTTGTAGCTAAAATGAAAGCATTCACTGTTTTCACAACTGTACTGTAGTTAGAAACTTCATATGCATTACAATTTGATTACCAACAAGTATTGTGTGGTCAGGCTTTCAGCATATTTGAAAATTCATTATCAAGCTAAATGTGTCAGCAACAGTGGTTTCAATCAATAAAGTGTCAAACAAACGTGGCAGACTGAAGAAATATCGTATATGTAATATCTTATATGTAGTATCTTGAAACATATTGATTAGCAATCAACAGTGAGAGAATTTGGCCGCTGCAGTAGTGAACAGAACACTGAAATCAAATGAACAGAATAACTCCCCACCGACTGTACTCACATTCCACAGACCCTCATACCCACCCCACCTTCTCTCAGCATGCATCAGTGCTTACCCAGCACCCATTTCATGATGAGGAGCTCTGTCCAGGAGAACTGGGTTGTCTTCACCCGGAACACCTGGCGAGGGTGGTCAGTAATGGTCTCATTGGGAAGGTTCTTCACACCCTCAAAGCGGTCTGATGCGTTCAGAACCAGCAGTCCCAGAAAAAGTGTGAAGGACACGGCATGGGCAACAAACTTCATAAAGGGGCTCCGCAGAATCTGACCCAGCTAAAGGAAAGAGAGCAGTAAACAGAAACAGTAAACAGAACAGATGCAGGCTGAATGGATGGATGGGTGTATGGATGGGTAGATGTGTGGGTGGGTGTATGGGTGGGTGTATTGGTGGATGGACGAAAGGATGGATGAGTGGATGAACAGATGTATAAGTGGTAGAGATAAGATAAACATAAAGGAATGAGAAAGGAAAACAAAAGAAAAAACATTCTGAAGGGGCAACTGGCAAAATGAATTTTCAGTTAGCAATTTAAAAAATGCAACATATTCATAAAATAAAATTTTGTTTCAACAATACACTGTGTCTGTAAATAATTCATTTAATTTGTCCCTAATTCAAAAGACAAACATCAGAAATCCTTTTGTTTTTTCAGTCAAAATTATTCAGTGTTCAAGGCAAGTGTCCTGAAAAGAATGGAAGCCATAATAAAGGCAAAGGGTGAACATATAAAATACTTAAAATACTGATATTATATTTGGTTATCAATGCTTCTGTATAATTTTCTGTTTCTGCTTTTTACTGATTCTGTAAAATGCATAAATTTTATTTACGGGCTGTTTTGACTTGAAATTAAATAAATAAAAGTGTAAAAGTGTGAACTTCTTATGTTATTCACCTCAAAAAGGTTTTTACATGAATGTTAAGTTAACATAATGATAGAAAAGAGGAGTCCCTGTAAACCATGCAAGTGCAGCATATTCAAAAAATGAAAATAGCACTGTTCAAACAGAACACACTCACATGCAAATAAACACACATAGATGAACCATCCTTTCTAAAATAGCAACAAAAAATGTCTATGAATTCAGGATCAGAGTGTGTGTGGAGTAAGGGGAGACTGAATCGAACCCTATATCCCTCCATGTCTCATTACATTCTGCTGTTACCTCAGGAACACACACGCACACTCAAACTCACATGCAATCTATAATCTCCTCACTGCTGATTGCCCCTGGCATGTAGTCAACCATTTATTCTTCATCTCCACATGTAAACAAGCTAATCAATAAAGCCAGTAATGTTTTACCCCCAACCCCTGCATTGATCTGAGCAGAACTGTTGCTGGATGTTTATGTAATCAGCAGGCTTTTGGAACATCTCGACAGCAGTGAAGCTTAATCAGTTAGTGTTGTTTTTCTCACCTTGTTCACCACAGACAAGCATTGTTCCTGTGTCTACAGCACAGTTTTGGAAATCTCGCAGGCGTTTGATCTCTTTTCATTGGTGTGCTTTTCACTGATCTACCTGCTCTGCTCTTCTGAAACATCACCAGAACATATTCCTTTCACAAAACTTGTCATCTCTTTCTTTCTCTCTTTCTTTCTTTCTCTCTCTCTCTCTCTCTCTCTCTCTCTCCCTCCCTCTCCCTCTCTCCCTCTCTCCCTCTTCCTTTCTCTCTGAATTTTTGCCTCTTTTAATGGCCTCTGTCAGTGTAGGAAGATGCTTTAATGAGATGTTAGACAGATTCACACTCAGAGAACTTAGAGAACACACACACACACACTCACACACACAGACACACACACACAGATACATACAACACAGCAAGTACCTCAGATTACCTTTGCTCATTGTTTAAAATATGCAATACAAAAATATGCAAAAGGGTGATTACAGATAGATACAAAATGATTACGGATAAACATGGAATGATTATGGATATATATAAATATATATGATTACAGATATGCAGAGATTACAGATATATATGGAATGATAACTGTGTGTGTGTGTGTGTGTGTGTGTGTGTGTGTCTGTGTTTGCTTTTGTACATTTTGAAAAATAGCCTAACACTGTAAAATGCCTTTAACAAAAGCTATGTTTTATTCTATATTGATTTTTGCGTATGGCCAAAAGTATGTTTAGGAGCAACAACAGCTCAGCTGTGAAGCAATAGATCAAACAAGCTCACAGAACAGGATTGCTGAGCATTGAGTGTCTGTCCTCAGTTGCAACACTCACTACAGAGTTCAACACTGCCTCTAGAAGCAGCATCAGGACAAGAACTGTTCATTGCAAGATCTCAATGCACGATGCCTAGCTTCTCTGTAGCAGTGGAAACAAGTTCTCAGATCAATCGTCCTTCACCATTCGGCAGTCTAACAGGCAAATCTGGGTTTGATGGATGGCAAGTGTCATGCATTCGGCTAGTCAGCCAACAAACTACATTCCCCGGAGTACACTGGGGAATCAGGAGACGGAGCTATTTCCTTCGCTGGCCAGTAATGACTCAGACTCCATTTCCCAGAATCCTCAGCCAGCTCACATGACTCCGCAGACATCCTCATTATCCTATCACCGTTCAAGATCACCTGAATACTAATGCTGTGCACCTGTGTATTTGTGTCACATGACTCAGATAGACAGTATTTCAGCCCAGGCTAAAGCTAGAATCATTGCGAGGTATTGCTTTCCTTAGAGAAACTTCTGAGTGTTCTTCCTGTTATCTATCATATGTATGACCTTCTGCTTTCCGTTTTCTCTGACTCTGTTTTTGGATTTGCCCCTGTGTACTTTTGACTAGTTTATTGGATTTATGGTTTTGACCCATCGCCTGTTTTTTGGACTTCGCTCTGTTTTCCCCTTGTCTGTTGTGGTAGCCATTTCTCTACTGCTGTTTATATTGGAACTGACCCATGCTTGTTTGCTGACTACGTTATACTTGCCTGAATCCACAAGTAAAGCTTTGTTTGTGTTTTTAACCGCGAGCGTCTGCTGACTGGTCGTATGTTACAGCAAGAGGACACTGTCTGTCTAAACGCACAACGCCAACTATAAAGTTTGGTAGAGGAGAGATAATGTCCTAGGACTGTTCATGATCATGGGCTTCTTTGTTCCAGTTAAGGGAAAACATAAAGCTACAGCATTCAATCACATTCTATAGCGGGGGTGTTCAACTCTTGTCCTGGACGATAGCACAGTTTGGCAATTAACAGACGTGAATCTGGTATGTTTGAGTAACTATGTTGGACACCAGTCCTTCAGTCTCAAAGTTAAACACCCCTGCTCTAAAGGACTGTGTGCTTCCAAATTTCAGGGCTACTGTTTTAGCATGACAATGGCCCTGTGCACAAAGTGAGGTGCCTAAAGAAATAACTTGGGAAGTTTGATGTGGAAGAACTTGACTGGCCTATGTACACAGCCCTGATCTCAACTCCCAACACTTTTGGGATGAAATGGAACGGCAACTACAGGCCAGGCTGTATCACCGCATATAAGTGAACCTCGCTACTGCTCCTGTCGCTTAATGGAAACAAATTCTTGGAGCCATGTTCCAAATCTAGTGAAAGCCTTCCAAGAAGAGTAGAGGCTGTTATAGCAGCAGAGGTGGCACAAAGTCCATACTAATGATATTGTTTTTAAAATGTATTGATGTGATAACTGTCCAAATACCTTTGGCTATGTAGTGTACATACATGTGACATGTTATTACATATAGGTACCTACACAGTACACAAAACACATATAGGACAGAGGTCTTCACAACTGGACGTTGAAGCCTGTTTTTGGTTGTGAATTTTGCAGTCACTGCTAGGTATGACGCTAGATGGCCAATCAGCTACATCAACAGTTTCATTAAATACCAGTGGTTGTAAAATACAAGGCTGGACACCAGATTTGAGTTCCAGATTTGTAGAACTCTTAACTCATATTATTACATATAGGTAGTTATGTAGTTATGTATGTGTATGTGAATGTGTTACCTTGCTGCAGGGCATGATCCAGTATGCTATGGCGAGGAAAGGCAGCCCTACAGTCACTCCCAGCACAGTCAGACACTTCACCCCTATAGACTGCTGCCTCAGACCAGACAGATTCTCATACCAGATAGTCAACAACTGCTGCTGGCAGTTCGGGTGAGCTACAAACTACAGAGTGAGAGAGAGGAGAGAGAGAGAGAGAGAGAGGAGAGAATATCATTCCATTGACACCACAGTGAAAACGACTTACTTACAAAGAGTTCACAGTGAAGCTTCTTCACCTTTAGAGTCAAACACATATTGATTTTTTTGTGAGAATTTATTTGTGTGAGCCCTGATCTGTGAAACACTCTGTGTGTGTGTGTGTGTGTGTGTGTGTGTGTGTGTGTGTGTGTGAGTGTGCGTGTATGTGTGACAGTTAAACGTGTGTGTAAGTGAATCTGCTGGCACCTGCAGAGTACATTATTATTGAATCTACATTATTTCACCAGTGAAAGGGTGAAATGGAACTCTCCACTGCTGTGTACACACACACACACACACACATAGCCTTACAATAATGACTATCAGTAGAGAATGAGCACTAGCTACTGATCTGTGCTATTGCTGTCATCATTCTCTCACTGCCTGACTCCAAATCCAATCTCAGCTTCATTTAGAAATCGCACTCAAATGAGTTTAAGTTCGTTCATTCTTTCTGTCTATTTCATTCTGCACATACAGTATGCAATGGTCAGAGAGCTAAAGTTATTCACTTTTCATCTAAAAGTTTTCAGTATTCAGTAGGTCCATCCCTTTTCCTTCATTACAACTTCCAGTCGTTTCTGAAGGAATTTATTTAAAGGAAAGCTATAGTGATATTTCTCCACACCTCCAAAGGAAAACTTGTACTTAATGGCCATTTTAATTAGAATTTAAATAAATGAACAGTAGTCTCGGACGTTTTCAGTGTATAGTACTGTATTTGCCAAAACACACCCTCACATGGTCACACCAACAAGATTAAAGGAATACTCTGGTGCTTTTTCAAGATAGTTTATAGTTAACTATGATTTTCATCAATCATTTCCATGTGCTTAGAAAAAAAAACACATTTATAGTCATAAATTATAAAATTATAAAACACACTTATATGTCAATGGCTTGATGCAAACCATCATTTATACCAGAGGTGTCAAATGCAAGCACTAAAAGGGCCATATTAAAAAAGCTCAGCAAATCTGTGGGCCAGCTGTGTTTTTATTTTACTGTTACTTAACATTTTGCCATGACCCCAACTGGCCACTGTTTGTTCAAAATATGCCAAAACTACAATGGCAAAAAACAGGCAACGAATACTTGAACAATTAAAAAATAATTTTAAATAAAAACAAATTGTTTTATATAAAACAATAGACTACATTAGCTGTGGATAACTATTAAACCTTTTTAAATGTCCCCAGTGTACAGTAGGTTTTTAAAAACTGCTTCTTTGCTTAAACTACACACCTGGCATCTTTTTTTTTTCTGTGGTGCTGTCCCATAGATCGTTGTTGAGGAGGGGGTGAAACGGGCATTATTTGAATTAATTATTTCAAAATTAAAATAATTTTGTGGGCAGAAAAGGATTTTGTGGGCCCTGTATTTGACACATGGGATTCATACCATGTCTGTGCCGTGGTACATATACAGTGACCTTTAGGGTGTGTTTATACTTCTAGTCCAGTTCCGTTGGTCCAGACAAAAGCAGAACGGAGAAACCTTGGCACCTTAATACATAATATAATCTATGTGGCAATCAAAAGTACATATTAAGTATTTTATAACGACTTCACACATGCCTCATCCTTGTTTTGAAGTGAAACGAGACCGACCTGCTCAGGGGGTCTCGGTCCACTTATTTGGTATGCACATGAGTTCAGATGGCAGTGTTCTTGTTAGCTCTACTGAACTGCACTAACAGAGCAGTCACACCAGGGTTGGTTTTAATCGAACCAAATCAGCCCAGTCTGAATGCACACTTAGATACTGTATTGATCTTTGACTTTGTCCTTGCACACATATAGATGTGTGTACATACGTTCGTCACATTGTGTGTGACCTATTTAACCCAGGTTGCTAAATGGTTGCATGACCTATAAGGTCAACCTGAACCAACCATGCACCTGGTTGCCACGGTAACAGCCCTGCAACCCAAACTGTCTGCTCTGATTGGTGCTGATGATAATGACAGCATTGCTGACCATCTTGCCACTCTCTTTTGGAGTAGTAAAGCACTTAGCATTCACATCACAGTCTCTCTGTCTCTCACACATATGCACAGAGAGATAAACACCGTTCAGGAGAACGCCTGGTACCAATAATTAACACTCTGCTGGTGCCGTTTTCTTTGTGGGAAGTATATTCGCGTGTTTATGCCTGTTGGTTTGACATTTACTCCAAGTGAAAGAGTGGACAGAAGAAGCTACAGGGATTACGATTCAATTCCAAAAAGAAGCCTGATATTTGCAATGTGCAAGAAAAGACAGACAGACAGCCAGACAGACAAACACTGAAGTCATCACGCACACAAAATGTCACGAAGCAGCATCTTGTTTCAGGACAAAGGCGATTCAGCACCATAGACAGCAACCTCATTATGAAAGGCAGCTGTCAAAAAGCTTTCAACACAATTACTGCACGGCTAATAGCACAGGTCACAGAATTACTTGACTTTTGACCTCTGGAACAGCTACAGTCTCTTTCATTCAGCATAAGGACTGATAGATGGGGAAAAAAGGAAATTGCAAGGGTTTTTTTTGCCTCCAGTCCCAAAGTGAGGCCTTCAACACTGAGACCAACCTGGTATTTGTAATTTTGTAGATAATATAGCCCTCACACTGTACTATTTAGGTAAAGTTAAAGTTAGCAAAACTAACCCAATTTGAGCAAAATTACAAAAGTACAAAGCTGCCAGTTATGTTATAATACCACAGAACAATCATTTCATTTTAGTATAATGCGTATGTATACAAATATTAGTATCTTTACAAACTCTAAATATAATATTTATGTATTTTAAGTTGCTTTTAGCATGCTGTTTCTCTTATAGCTAAGAGTGTAACAGCCATACAGTTATATATTACAGTTATGCAAAATTACTTGGACAAAAATTCTCATTATATTGACTTTCATTAAAAGTAAAGAACGTTTTTACCTTCTCCTGTGAAGTTACAGTTTTGGAGATGTTTATTAATTCATTTATTTATTTATTTTGGACAGCGGTGATATGTTAATACATCCTGTACAGGAAACAAACAAATATATGGCTTTTTCTGCCAACTGTAGATGTTAATTTGCTGAAATTAACATATTGAGGGGGAAAAAAAATCAAAATCCTAAATTCAGCGGAACATATCATCTGACCAGTGGTGCCCAAACTTTTGCATTTTGATTACAAAGGTTTAGACAGCAGTCATTGCAGATATTACAAGGGGCCACTGGGCTGTTTTCATTCTCCATTTTAAAACGGTTCTGCACTGCAGACATTTAAACCGCTCATTAAATTCTCAAAACATTCCTCACTGCTGTAAGTTGTGCATCCATACAGATCATCTCTAAGTAAAGCACAATGCACCAAACAGCCTTCATTAAGGATAAGCATTTGATTAGAATGAATACAGATGATACTAATCTATTAAAATATGCTTGGATAAGCTGAAGTGTCAGTCTTTCAGAATCGCCCAGGACATACCCAACTGCTATATATATTTAGACTCTGAATTACAGACTGACTACAGCAGACTAATCATTCTAGCAAAGCTGAGAGGGCTCTAGAATCAGTTTGGGAGTGTGATGAAGGTTTCAGGCTCAGAGTGTGTTGTATGATTAGATTATTGAGCTTGTTCTATATTCAGAGGTTCCCAGCAGGATCTAGAATCTTATGGTTTAGTGTTCATTTGGTTTAATGGCCTTCTTTAAGCGACGTGCACTCTCCTACTCTAGCCAGTGGAAACAGTGTAGCTTCAACCTGTAAACAAACACAACTTTGCTGGACAGTAGGAAGTGTGCAGCTGTCTTTGCTGCTGCTGCTATCTGACCTTCTTGACCTCGTATTTGATGGCGAGTTTGACACGGCTGAGGCAGGGCCGTTGGTGCTCTGTGGGCAGGATCTGGTCCACATCACCGTTCAAAATGGCCTCCACCTCCTCTGTGTCCCGACACAGGTCAAGAACCCCCACTACAAAGTCTTTACACTGCATGGACAGCTTACGGTAGTCATTCTGCAGAGAGAGAGAGAGAGAGAGAGAGAGAGAGAGAGAGAGAGAGAGAGAGAGAGAGAGAGGGGTTAGGTTTGACAGAGTGAAAAAAGATTATCTGTGTGGTTTCGTTACTTATTAGCAGGTCCCATGCACAAACGTGTTTGGGGGTATGGGCTCAGGGGTAAAAAGGACTATATGAACATGAAATAAACTTAATTAATCCACACCACCACAGACAGTGGTAGTGTAAACATTTTTCAGTGGAAACCAAACATAGTTTGAATGTAGGAGTTGCCATTCCTAAAATAGCCAAAATATGCTAGATTTACCACTTAACTAAGGATTTAAATTCTCCAGCATAACAGGCTGTAATGTTAAATATGCAGTGTGACACTTTCTGAAAGAGATGATCAGTGCTTTATTTCTGTGATTCCCAGTACAGTTGTGATACATGCATCCATGATGGGTTGGGGTTGCTGAGGAGAAATTTCCACTGGCGCCTACTGCATCAAGTGGAATACCCAAGAATGGTAAATCTTGTGGAACCTGTGTACATGTGCCTGCTTGTTAGCTACATTAGCCTTGTAGGTCCAAGAAAACTTGGTGTTCACCTTCTCCTTCTGTACAGCTTCATCCTCTATACATATCAAATGCTAACTGGACATGAGGAAAAGACCTTAATTATGTCAACTCTGAAGCAAAGACTCAAATCTTTAACTGCCATGTGCGGTTATAATCTTACATTCAGAGAAAACCTTCAATCTGATGGACAATATCGAACTGCTACATATGCAATAAATGTGGCATTTAAAATCGTTTTTTAAGATATATAAAAATAAAAAAACAAACCAAACCAAACCAAAGTTGGTTAAATAGCAGTTACAAATCGGGTGTACAAGCATACAGCCAGGGTCATCCCAGACAGAAGGCTGTAACTGAGACCATAATAATATAATAATAATGTTGTATCCTGTACAGTGTGCACTGCAGCACATTGCATATTAAAATATAGCAGGTTTAGCTTAAATGCTAATAACATAATAATTGAGACTTCATTTCACATCTAAAAAGTCATGACTAAAGACTTGACACTCGGACTTATGAACATCTATACTTGCAGTCAAGAAACCAAAACTTACACTGCTAGGCTAATGTAAGGTTGGGAGTCTCTTGTCCAAAGATTCTTACTGGAGCAATGGTGTTATCCACTGTGCTATCCACCACTTAAGGTTCAAATATTATATCATCTGCTTTGATCTTGGTTTCATCACAGTTGTATCAAAGTCACACACACAGCATTGTTCAAATGGCCACCGTTAAACAGAAAAGGATATTTTATAGTTACATTCCACTAATATCAGCCCTCTTCCTGGGTGTGAGGAGAGAATTACTCAGCCTTTGCGACTTCATATAACACACTAATGCGCTCGGTAGCAGAAGCAATTTAAGTGAAAAGACTGCAAAGTTCCCTGAGTGCTCTTTATCCATCCTTGCAGCTCTTATTCAATACACAGCACACTCCGTTTATAAGGAATGTCATAATGAGCTTCCAGAGTCATTAGACTGGTGCCAAAGCTGGAGCTAAAGCATGTCGTGAAACTGACTGATGCACAATGGTGAGGATGAATTTATACAGTGAGGGAGACACCTGGGTCTTTCAAAGCAGCTGGCTGACGATGCGTCACAGAACTGATGTCAAAAGGAATCCTATGGGCCTCACAGGCTAACAGCAAATTCAGCCTATATGAATTATTCAGATATAATAGATTGAAACAGTACTCATTATTATTACACATGTAATTGAATGGAGGACAGCAGCACTCATTATGGAGTAAATGCCTCGTGAGTGTGATCTGCAGGTTGCATTTTAATATTTTAAGGCCTCAACTGTATTGCTTAGTAACCTGGAGTTTAAAGAGAATTAGGTAAACATGCGCACATAAACATAACGGAGAAAGAGAAGAAGAGAGATAAAGAGAAAGAATGAGATGGAGAGATACAGAAAGAGAGAAAAGGAAAGACAGATCAAGATAGAGAGAGAGAGAGACAGAGAAGGGAAAAATAAAGAAAAAGAGAGATAGAAAGAGATAAGGAGAGAGAAATAAAGAGAGATAAAGAAAGGAGAGATGGATATAAAGAAAAGAGGGATAAAGAGAAAAAAGAATCAGATAGAAAGAAAAAGGAAAGAGAAAGAAAGGACAGAGAAAATGGAAGAAAGAGAAACAGAATAGAGAGAGAGAGAGAGAGAGAGACAGAGAGAGACAGAGAGACAGAGAGAGAGACAGTGAGCCTGGGAGACAAGAAAAAAAAAACAGATGAGCTGAGAGAAAGAAAAACAGATAAAGAAAGAGAGATAGACAGATAAAATAGAGAAAGCAGCTAAACTGAACCAGAGAGAGAGAGAGAGAGACAGAGAGAGAGAAGGGAAACGTAAAGAAAAAAGAGCTAGAAAGAGATAGAGAAATAAGGAGAGAAAAGAGAGAAAATTGAAGAAACAGCAAAAGAAACTGAGAGAGAAGAGAGAGCGAGAACCCGAGAGACAAAAAGAAAGGAGATAAAGAAAGAGAGATACAAAGAAAGAAAGATAGACAGATAAAAAAAGAAAAAGCAGCTGAACTGAACCAGAGAGAGAGAGAGATTTTCATTTCTCTCTCTCTCTCTCTCTCTCTCTCTCTGTCTCTCTCTTTCTCTCTCTCTCTGGTTGAGCGCAGTGGCTGAGGTCTCCAGCTGGGTCTCACAGCTCCAGTCTCGGCTCTAGCAAACTGGAGTTCCCTGACGATGTCTGGATTTTCAGTGTGAAACTGAGCGGAGCGATTCTGGCTCATTCCAGCCTGAACCGTCGTTCTGTCGTGTCAACCTCGTTACAAGATTAAAATCTCACCCCTTGTTTTAGCTCCACTGCACATTCATCTCCCACACGTTCCTCTCTAGTTAGCAGAGCCGTTAGATAAAGCGTTTAGCTCAGAGAGGCAGGAATGTTTTTAAACTCTGAAAATGTCTTGAAACTTCCTTGTACATCTTGTACTTGCTGAATAAAAGATTGCTATTCTGAGAACATGTTTCCAGTTGTACCAATGTCTTCTGCATCTGGACACCAAAATGAACATGATGCTACTTTCATTTGACAGTGTTACTGCTGAAAAGGGCTCATTTGGCCTGTCCATGCTCCGCCCACAAATGTGTTTCTCTCATAGCAACTGTTGTAAAATTCCAGTTCTACCAAAGGCGAATTTGTAGCTCATAACTTAATTTCAACCAGAATATGTACATTAACAGTTTGATATGAATTTCAAATCATTTTTATTTCATTGAGTTTAAGAGGTCACACTGTACACAACTTGTTCAGTTTTGTGTCGCTACAACAACATAGTCTAACTCAGCAGTGTAGTAATTTAAACTGGAAGCCCAAATGAAGATTATAGCAGTTTTATTAGGCTGAATGGGATTCTCTCTAATGTTCTGTAAAGCTTGTCTAACTTTGCAACAGTTGCTATGAAATAATGAAGAATTCGTATTTATGTTTTTGCTTATGCAATTGTCACATTGCAACTGAGTCTCAGATCCAGCTAACAGAGTGAATGTCTGTAGGAGCTACTGGACTTCAAACTCTCCAAGACCAGCACTCGCCATCAGTAAAGCATGTGGTTTATTGTGCAGTCCAGGTCACTCTGACACTTTATATGCTAAGAAATGCTGCTGCCTTTGTAGAGCTTTTAGGCCTAATGTTCAGGAATACAGTCCACCTTCAAACTATTCCAGCAGCAGATCCCCTCCAGACCACAACACACGCGCACACACACACACACACACAAGCAGCACATTAAGTGTAGTGAGCTGAGTATATTCAATGTAGTGGGTGTGTTTAGGTCATTCTGACACACAGAAATGCTGCACCTCACACTGAGCTTTCAGACCTAATGGTGGCCAAGAAGCTAATACACTTATATACTTCCATATACATATTGTTTCCATAAACAGGAGAAATATCAAAACAGAAAACTGATTTTCAGAGGTTTTATACTAGGAACATTGGAACATTGCTGTGAAGATTTCATTGCATTCAGCCACAAGATTAGAACAGGTACTGATGTTGGATGATTAGTTCTGAATCACAAACTCCACTCCAGCTCATCCCAAAGGGTACTGGATGGAGCTACATCACTCTACACACTTAATGATGGTTCTTCAAGGGTTCTTTGGTAAAGAAAATGGTTCTATATAGAACCATATATAGTTCTTGATTGATTGATGTGTTGAATACGGGTATATAGAGAATCTTTTTGAAAAGGATTCTTTATAGCACCAAAAAGAGTTCTTCTTTAACTACAAGCTTGATATTTTTCTGTATAGAACCATATTCAACACCTTCTATGATGCAAAGAATTCTTTACTCATGCAAAGAGTTTATTGAGTGTTCAAGGTTCTGTATAAAACCACTGTCTTTACTAAAGAACCGATGAAGAACCACCATTTTTTAGTGTGCAGAGAATGCAGTTCCACTGCTCCACAGCCCATATACCCCTTCTACTCAACACCTGGCATTGTGCATGGTGACCTTAGTCTCATGGGCAGCTTCTCCAGAAAATCCCATCATGTTACTCAATGTTTTTCTATGAAGATTATAAAAGTGTACAAAATTAAATACCTCAGTCAGTAAAAGGTTTGCCTTACAGTAGCTGAATTCTCTAATTAGAAAGGCTGACCTGTTTTTTTGTTTGTTTTTTTTTTTGACACAGTGCATCACCCAAGTCTTCAAGTCTTATTCAGTCTACACTGGCTTCTCATTAAGTTCAGCATTGACTACAAGATCTTGCTTTTGACATTTAAAGCCCCTAATGACCTAGCTCCAGGATATCCTGCCGATCTTGAAGCATTATAGCCCATCCAGACCTCTTTGATCAGCTGAGGCAAGCTTACAGCAGACTCTGAGGATCACTTGCAGCTCAGCTGGTGAAAGACTGTTCTCTTATATAGCTCCTAAACTTTGCAGTAGCATTCTGGTCATTACTGGGAGGGCAAAC